AAGCATGATTTAACCGCACCCCCTGGTTTACTACACTAATTTCAACCGTAGTTGGCCCTTTAGTTGTTTTAATTCTCCTACTTATTTTCGGGCCTTGCATCATCAACAAGCTTGTAGCCTTTGTTAAAAATCAAGTCAGCACCAGTGCCAACCGCGTGGTACTCATCCTTGGTGTCTCAACTCTCCTACCCATTTTCAGAATGGTCTTAAAAAAAAAAAAAAAAAACCTATGTAGACCCATGATTGGGTCTTATCTTTAGGTTCCTCTGAGAGGGGGGAATGAGAGACCCAAGAGATTAAAAAAAAGAAATACTATATGAATTCCTACCCCACGTTCATTGTATTTGTTTGCAGTGTTTGCACTTAGAATTTTGTTAAGTTTAATTTTTGTTTGTCTCATAAAATAACCGATTGCTTCCGCAACTGCTGCTAGCAGTACGTGAATGTCAAGTAATAAACCCCTCCCGGGCATTCCTTTGCTTAGCCTGCCTGCTGACATTCCACTCTGCTCATTTAGCAGCTCCCCAGTCAATCACAGGTAGAGCGGACCAGACCAATCCCAAGTGCCCCCATACCCATTAGGAGAAATTACCCTATCATGTAAAAACAAGTTTAAAGTTCTTTCCCCTCCCTCTGTAATGATGTATAAAAACTGCTTGCCATGCTGTGCTTCGGGCGTGAGCCCAGACTCGAGCCTGAATAAAGACCCTTGTGTGTTTGCATCGGAGCTGGCTCTTTGTGGTCTCCATCTCTCTCATTAGAGTCCCGGGTTCAACAAATATCACCACCGCAGTTAGTTCTTCCTTAATACTATAGATAGGACAACTACTACCCTTGCCTTTATTGTTTGTCACAACATGCATTTCCTTCAAAGAACTTCATATATTTAAATAACTCATTTATTAGTTGCCTGCTTTTACTATGGGTCTATAAGGTCTACTCCACGAGGAGCTTCAATTCATAAGTTATAACATTAGGCTTAAAAAATTCAATAAATATTTTCTGAACATAAAAAAAGAAATTAACCCTAATCACTATCCTTATTAATTACTAAATTATCCTATAAATTTTATGATCTCAAGATTTTGAGATCTCATAGAATCTCAAGAAAAAAGAAACCTCAGAGATCATTTAATAAATTCAATTCTAATTTTATAGAAGATTTTAAAAGGGGCTTCTCCACAACATAGAGCTCCTCAGTGCCAAAGTGAGCCCTCAAGATTATAGGTACTGATTTCCAAACATAAGCATAATATCTAATTGAGTTCTAACCAACACTAAACAATCTCTGAAGTTTTAACTAAACTGTCTGACTACCAAAGCTCTATTGTCTGTAGCCAAGTGTAGAGTATGGGAGGAAAAGATGGTTCATCTACAAAGTACCCAGAGGCTAGAAGTGTTGGCTCATGCCTGTAATCCCAGCACTTTGGAAGGCCAAGTTAGAAGGAATGCTTGACCCCAGGATTTCGAGATCAGCCTGGGCAACATGGCGAGACCCCGTCCCTAGAGAAAATTTTTAAAAATTATACAGGCATGGTGGTACGTGCCTGTAGTTCCGGCTACTCAGGAGGCTAAGGCCAAAGGATCACCTGAGCCGAGGAGGTTAAGGCTGCAGTGAGTCGTAATCATGCCACTGCACTCCAGTCTGGGCGACAGAGACCTCAACTCAATCAATCAATCAATACACAGAGTAAAGCATAAATAAGCAGCAAACTTCCAAGTAATACATATATTTTCTCCTATAATAGATTCTTATTCAATTATTTGCACAGTAGCACCCTCTATTATTTTCCACAATGGAAAAAAAATCAACTTTGATTAAAACTAAAGTTAAAATTTACTTGTGATATTTTATTCCCGATATACTGTATATTTGTCAATCCCTATATAAAAACAACAGTCCTGCCGGGCTCGGTGGCTCAGCCTGTAATCCCGCGCCTTTGGGAGGCTAAGGTGAGTGGATTGCCTGAGCCCGTGGGTTCGAGACCCACCTGGGCAGCGAGACCTCATCTCTACAATAAATCAAAAAATCAGCCGGACGTGATAGCACACGCCTGTAATTCCAGCTACTTGGAAGGCTGAGGCAGAAGGATCGCCAGAGTCCAGCAGGTGGAGGCTGCGGTGGCCGGGAGCGGCCACTGCACTCCAGTCTGGGTGACAGAGTGAGACTCTAACTCAAAAAAATAAAATAAAATAAAATAAAATAAATAAAAAAAAAATTAAAAAAAAAAAATAAATAAATAAAAACAACAATCCTGAAAGCAATCTCTTAAATGAACATACTACTTCCCCAAATAAGATCTACTAAAAGTTAAACTGTATATGTTTACCTCGTTATTGGTATAATGTAGATCCATAGACTGTCCAAAGGCAATTTTAGCTTTAGACCTTAGATCTTCCAGCTTAACTGGTCTGGGGAACTGAAGAATTCTATATAAACAGAATTTTAATATATTTTACTTTCTTAGGCAAAGTTAAATAATATACTTGTAACAGTTACCTTTTGTCAGATACAAAATTAAGTTAAAAACTGTGTATTCACTATTCTTAAACACTATAATACCTCATTTTTTATCAAATGCACAAATTTTCAATACAAAGTTCAAAAACTCTGAAGTTGTTCTATTCTAATAAAAAATTTAAAAAGTAAGCTGGGTGCAGTGGCTCATACCTGTAATCCCAGCACTTTGGGAGGCCAAGATGGGAAGGTTGCTTGAGTCTAACAGTATGACACCAGCCTGGGCAACATAGCTAGACCTCATCTCTATGAAAACATAACAAAACTAGCCAGGCACAGTGGAGCACACCTGTGGTCCCAGCTATTTGGCAGAGTGAGACAGAAGGACTGCCTGGGCCCAAGAGGTCACAGTGAGCCATGACTGTACCACTGTACTCTAGCCTGGGAGACAGAGTGAGGTCCTGACTCGGTAAATAAACAATCAAATAATTTAAAAAGGAAATTCTCAAAATTCTCTGCAGTTTTTCACTTACACTGAACCTATCATAAAAATATTAAAGAGTAATGTAAAATGTCCAGTAAAAAAGTGATTAAACTTAAGTATGTAACATCTGCACAACAGAATACAATGAAACTGTAGAAAAGAATAAAGTTGTTATTTGGGGATTCAAATTTTAACTTCTATATCCTCATCAGTTGAACATTTTTGAGCACATTTATCATGTAAGCATACCTCAAAATAAATATTTAAAAATATTACAACTTACATATGAATTAAAATTATAGTATTTTCTTCCTATATCCCAAAGGTATTCACTTAACACTTGAAGACTACCACACTAGACTGTAAGCCCCACGAGGAAAGAGAACATGTCTATTTTGCTCACATTATTCCTTTAGGACGTAGCATAAAGTAAGTACCTGATAAACAGTGCTGAATGAATGAAAAAAAATTAGGAAGATATCCATAAAAAAAATCTAAAATAGGAAAGTAGATTGGACAACAGTTCTATGCTATAGCTGAGATATAATATTTTGTATATATATATGTATAGGTTGGCGACAGGGTGAGACTGACTAAAAAAAAATTCTGTATAGTATCTGGAAGGATGATACAATTATGATAGGGAAAAATATATTTAGTTTTCACTGAGTAAAATAAAAGGAAATGATAATACTTAAGGGCTACATTAAGCAGTGACTTTGTGTATTTCCTAATATTACAATGTAAAAATATTAATCATTTCTGATACTTAGCCTGAATTTTGACAGATTTTTAGCTATACTAAGTCTATGTTAAACATTACAAAGGACTATTCTATTCTCAGTTTATAAACCATGAAACTTCATTCAAATCTGAAAAGAACCTTTAATAGCTTAATTAGGATACACATTTGATTAAATCAATTAATTAACATATAATGTTTCCTTCCTTACCTCTTTTCTCCTCGGTGTTCAAATTTAACTCGGATGTCATTCTATAATGAAATGACAAATCAGTCATATAATCATTCAGAGATCAGATAAAGCTTCTAAAATTTCTAAATATTTTCTTTCTTAGCCACACATTTAAAACAGAGCACAGGGGAAAGGAACTTTCATTTTCTGTGCCAGCTTCAATCAATCAATAGTGTCTGCTAAAAATGCTGAGTTGAGGCTGGGCATGGTGAGTCATACCTATAATCCCAGCACTTTGAGAGGCCAAGGCTGGAGGACTGCTTAAGCTCCGGAATTCGAAACCAGCCTAGGCAGCATAGTGAGACTCCACCTACACCTCTACAAAATATTAAAAAATCAGCTGGACATGGTGATGTGCACCTGTAGTCCCAGCTACTCAGAAAGCTGAGGCCAGGAGGTTGAGGCTGTGATGAGCCATGACAGTGCTACTGCACTCCAGACTGGGTGACAGAGTGAGACCCTGATTCAAAAAAAAAAAATCTGAGTTACGAATTATGTTGCTGAATCTAAGATGAATAGAAAAACCACAAAGATGTATCAGTGAAAGCATCAGGAGTATGAGACATCTATTAATCCTGTTACAGGTAAATATAGATTACTGTATTTTCATTTTTCATGCTAGGTATCCTAATTTAATTTGTGAGAATCAAAATAATTCTCATTTCTTGACATCCAGAGTAGACTTTTTGAAAACAAAATAACACAAAACAATTTGCTTATCTTAAGTGCTAGAAGAATGGATGAAATATTAGCTTTAGAGAGCAGTTACCACATTAAATAAAATGATATCATTTTAAAAAAAAATGTACACTCTTATGGGGAAAAGAATAACAACAACAGAATACTTGATTTGAAAGTAAAAAGGCAAAACATTTTAAACAAGTCCCCTGTGAGATCAGGATATTGAAGCAAAATAATTCATAGAACAACAAAATATACTTATTAAAACAAATACCTGCTTTTTTGGTGATGAAGATTTTGCTTTTCTGGTTTCCTGTAAGGATAATGCTGGTCGACTGGCCTTATGAAGGACAGCCAAATCTTGCATGATTGAGTTCAAAGCTTGCTGATCATCTAGGTATTTTTGAAATAACACGTACACAAAATTGTAACTTTGACATATATATGTACCAACATATATAGACATCAAACAAAATTTGTAATACAATTTAATGTTGAAAATGCATTAATTTAATATAAAAATGTATCTAGACATTTTTAATACCTATACTTCTGGTGAAATAAAATTTTAGTTATTCAAAAACTGAAGATGAATAACTTTCAAATTGCACTAGACTCGTGCTCTACCATCAGATAAGGGGTCCACATGAGACAAAATAAAGTTCTAATTTTTCTAAAGAGTTACTATCCTAGGATAAGGCTCAAAACAGCCCTGTTGTAACAAACTCTTTTCTATGATTCTTAAACAAAACTTCAACAAGACATCTACACCCTAAAAAAACAAGTGGAGAAAAAAATAAACAACTGTGTATAAATACCATAATTATTACGCATTTATAGTCAAAGTACAGACTTCATTTTTAGAGATTTTTTTTTTCTTGCATTAATACTTAGCTTTAGATAGATAGAAAGAAAAGCTTCATCTGTAGATACTGATCTACTGGTATTTGGAACTGTTCTTCAAACTTCTTCATCATAAGATTTGACAAGATTAAAAACACAGACTATTTAAGGATCTTGGCAATAACAATTTAAAAAAGTAACAATGCAAGAAAAATCCATTCCTTAGAAAAAGTATCAAGTCCATAAAACTGAAGGAAAGAATCATGAACCATGAATTTGTAGTCTCTTCCAAATATATCAGAGACTTCTTTCTGATACTATAAGCAGGTACTTCTGAGTAATGTCAATTATAAACTCTGTGGAAGTCTTCAGGGACAACTTCTTAATTGATTTTCACTAGTAAATCATTTCTACAAATGATAATCAGCAAACGGTAACTAAAGGAATCAAGAGACTTCACACTTTGCATTTTAAAATATAACTATTTTGGTAAACAAAAATAATGTTCCTAAAGTAGTAATTAAGATATGCTCTATCCTGCAAGGGAAATCATTAAAAATAATCTGACCATTCAATAGCACAATACAACCAGGAACGGTGGCTCATGCCTATAATCCCAGCACTTTGGGAGGCCAAGGTAAGAGGATTGCTTAAACCCAGGAGTTTGACACCAACCTGGGCAATGTAGCAAGACCTCATCTCTACAAAAAATTAGCCTTGATGTGGTGGTGCACACCTGTAGTCCCATCTGCTCAGGAAGCTGAGGTGGAAGGATCACCTGAGTCCAGAAAGTTGAGGCTGTGGTGTGCCGTGATCATGTTACTGCACTCCACCATGGATGACAGAGACTCCAATTAAAAAAAAAACAAAAGAAAAACCCAAATAGTCTCTCAAAGACAAACAACTGATTTCTCTCATTAATTTTTAATAACACAACATATTCTATTCTGCAGTGAAATTATTTACATATTAAAATTAAAAGTAATGGTTACAATGGTTTTATTAATAAATTCTAAATTAAGAGAAAATTTTATAACCCTTCACAAAGTATAATGTTTTGTCATAATATTAGTTTAGTCAAATAGGTAACTGAGCCAGTTGGGTACAATATAATCACAACAGGAATACCATCAACAAGCTCAGAACGATCTCAACTGGAATAAAATCACTTCATGTGACCTTCCTAAGAAAGTTCCTTAATTCTACATTGGGAGAAAGTGAACTCTAATTCTTATTTATTTGTTTGTTTATAGAGATGGGGGGAGTGGTCCTTACTATTTTGCCCATGCCAGTCTCAAACTCCTGTCCTCAAGCAATCCTCCCACCTCAGCCTCCCTAAGTGCTGGTATTACAGGCACGAGCCACTACACCCAGCCTTTAATTCTTAAATGTATCCACATTGTTCTAATTATTTCATTAGAAAAAAATGAAACACCTGAATTTAGGTATTTTTATATGTCTAATATCACAACGCCAAAATAAATAAATGGTTGGGAGGCTCTGGCAAAAATCTCTTATCACACTTATCCATACTTACTTCCTGCTTAAGAAAAATGAGAACAAAGAAAAAGACAAGTGAGTATGGCTGTCTATCATACATGTAAAAAAGGAAAGGGCCATTGAACAAAAGCTCAAATATTAGGAAGACGACATAGAAAACAAAGGGCCATTTAATTGAATTTCTTGTTTTGTGGGCTTGAAAAATTATATGGTAGAAAAGCACTCGATAAGAAACTTACTTTGTGGAGGCTGACAAGTTGTAAATTAACAAAAGATCAAGCACAGGGGTGATTACCCTCAAACTATAATGAGAATTTTCCTAACAATTATCAGACTTTTTGCTCTATTAAGAACCCCTAAATCCCTATGGTGGCCACAGGATACTTGCAGATTAGACAGATGATAAACACCGTTAAGGGTCATGAGTTCCCCCAACAGGCACTGAGGATGCCCCGAGGATCCCAGACTCTGACCACACAGAAGCTGCGAGTGTCTGACATACGCTGAAAGCACATCGAATTGAGCACAAACCAGAAAACATTTGGAAAACAATTTCAAATAAAATGTTATCAGAAATGTTGCATTAGACACCTTATATGCTTACGCATTACACTCTAAATGAAAAATTTAAATATCTGTAATTAATACTTTTTTGAAGAGTCATGTTTTTTGTGACTAGCTTTGTATGTTTTTAAGCAATGATTTTTGCTTACTATACCACAGTAGTTTGAGAGGGAAACCAGAAATAAGTTTGATAAATACATTATTAGACTGCAAATAAGAGCAACCAAGACAAAAAGTTGACAGTTCAGTAAAAAGATATCCCATTTGGAGCTGAAGTGGCAGAGTTGACTAGAGAGAAGAATTTGGACTACAACAGGGCACCGCACTTACTGTCACCAAAGAGGAAGTGGAAGAGAAAATTTTAAAAGTAGAAAGTGATGTTTCAGCTTGCACATTTTGCTACAAGCAGACACACTGAAAGTGTGCTAGCCCTTCTACTAAAGAAGCTATGATATTGTGTGTGTAAGTGCTGCATCTGTTTTGTTAAGCAAGTGGTAGAGAAAGTGCAACAAAGACAAACTTTGGCAAATAAATGTCAGAGATAAGATGTCAGGATGGGTCTAAAACTTAGCATCCAACTCACTGAGTCCCACTTTTCCTGATTTAGGATAGGGCAGGCCATTCATCCATTTCTTTTCTAGTGACTCTGTCTAATCCCTGCCTCATGTTGGAACCCCCAGCACCAAGGAGAAAAGAAAAAAAGATAAAGAGAAAAATAAGATGATATGTAAGCTGAACACCTAACAATCCATTTACATACTTTAGTCTTCCTTTAAATTAACATTATGACATAAGAGAATATTAACAAGAATTGCAATATATATATTCCTTGAGCACCAATTATTTGCTGTTATTCCATCATAATAAAATAAAATGTAATAATTTATTTCTTTCTTGCCATCATACTCTAAGCAAATCATAATCCATCTTAACAGTTTATTTTGAAGGTCCCTACTATGTTCTTCATAAAACTATCATCCAAAATTGCAATACTCAAAACGTGCTTTAATTAAAAATCTGTTAAGTAAATAAATATACACTATTACATAAATCTGCTACATCATAAAATTTCTTTATAAAAGGGTTTATAACAACACATAATAGAGAACATTTTTCCTCCTCCATTCTAACCTTTAATTATAGCGGAAAAATGCTTTTAGCTTGAACTCACCCATCATGGCAACCAGCTCGACAATTTGAAAATTAGAAAAATGGTTCTCCCATCAGCATTCTTTATTTCCTGAGGAGGGAAAAATACAAACATATAACTATAATAATAAGAAACACAAAAGCAGCCACAGAAAGAAAAACATCAGTATAAATAACACTAATGAAAAATATACAATATAAATACTTTACCCATTTTGCTAAGGGAAGGTGCTTTATATTGGGGGCTGGTCTTACAGGCACCCTTGCCTAACACACCAAAATTCCAGACTCCCAGAAGAAAAGCAGTATTCAGTATAAATCACAGTATTTCTATAAATAGCTTAGGCATAATGAGCCACCATCAGTTATCAGTTGAGGAAGTTGGAACCCCCCTGAAATCCAAGTTCTCAAGTGTCAGCCAAAAGGTTCACCTCATAAGCACACCTTTCTAAGGATAAACAGCCAGGCCTGCTATGTTGACTCTTTTCTACATAAGCAGCAACAGGAAATGAATACATTGGTTTAAAGAAAACTTCATAAAGCAATAATTACAACTGTATTGCCAGGCATAAAAACATAGTTATATAATTTGAGTAGTTTTAATATCAGCACACAGGAAAAGGGAAGGATAGATTTATATGAAAGAAAAGTATTTGTAAACGACTGCAATTAAGTTGCAACCCCTAGGTCAACCACTAAAAAATAAGTTGGAAACACAGCAAAAGAAACAAGAGAATTAAAATAGCACATTAGAAAATATCTGGGCCAGGTGCTGTGCCTCACACCTGTAATCCCAGCACTTTGGGAGGCAGGAGTGAGAGAACTGCCTGAGCCCAGGAGTTCGAGACCAACCTGGACAACTTGGTGAAACCTTCTCTTTACAAAAAAATTAGCCCAGCATGATAGCACGTGCCTGTAGTTTCAGCTACCTGGAAGGCTGAGGCAGAATGATTGCACGAGATCAGCAGGTTGAGGCTGCATTAGCAGGGATCAGTCTACTGCACTCCAGCCTGGGCAACATAGTAAGACTCCAACTAAAAAAAGAAAATATCTAAAATAAAAGGCAGTAATGGAGAAAATGGGAAACAAAAAAGATAACAAACATAAAACACATTTAAAAAAGGCAAATACAATCCAACCTTAGGGGAATGCATTAAATATAAATAAACAAATCAACTGAAAGGCAGAGAGTAACAGAATGTGTTAAAACACATGATCCAACTATAGGCTGAGAATCCTTAATCAAAAAATTCAAAATGCCCCAAAATTCGAAACTTTCTGAGTGCCAACATAATTTGACAAGTAGAATACTCTACATTTGATCTTATGTGATGGGTTGCAGTCAAAAGGCAGGTGCATAATACACAGTTTATTCAAAAACCCCAAAAGAAAAAAAGACCCTCCCAGGCCCTTTCAGCTGTGCTATATCTTTTCCATGCATGCCAAGACTCCCCTATGCAAGTATGCTCACAAAGGGCAATAAAACCAAAACTGTTTCATGCAGAAAATTGGGAGGCTAAGGTGAGTGGATTGCCTGAGCCCGCGGGTTCGAGACCTGCCTGGGTAACTTGGTGAGACCTCATCTCCACAAAAAATCAAAAATTAGCCAGGTGTGGGAGCGCACACCTGTAGTTCCAGCTACTTGGAAGGCTGAGGCGGAAGGATCGCCAGAGCCCAGGAGGTCGAGGCTGCAGTGGCCAGGAGCAGCCACTGCACTTCAGTCTGAGCAACAGAGTGAGACTCCAACTCAAAAAAAAAAAATTATCTTTAGTTATGTGAATAAAGTGTATATGAAACATAAATGGAGTTCATGTTTAGATCTGAGTCCATTACCTAAGTTATCTCACTATGTATATGTACATATTTCAAAATGTGAAAAAAAAATCTGAAATCCGAAACACTTCTGGTCTCAAGCATTTTGGATATGGGATATTCGACCTGTATGTACTGTCTACAACAGACACACTTTAAATTCAAAGACAGGCCAGGAATGGTGGCTCATGCTTATTACAAGCACTTTGGGAGGCTGAAGTGACAATTGCTTGAGCCCAGGAGTTCATGATCGGCCTAGGCAGCACAGCAAGACCTTGTCTCTACAAAAAATCTAAAACTTAGCCAGGTATGGTGGCATGCACCTGTAGTCCCTGCTACTTTCGAGGCTGAAGCAGGAGAATCACCTGAGCCCAGGAGGCTGAGGCTGCAGTGAGCTGTGGGCATGCCACTGCACTCCAGCCTGGGTGACAGAGCAAGACCCTGACTCAAAAATAAATAAATAAATTCATTCATTCAAAGACAAAGCAGGTTGACAGTAAAAGAATGGAAAAAGATATAGTATGCAAATAGCAGCCAAAACAGGCCTGGAATGGCTATAATATTTTCAGACAAAATAGATTATGACACAAAAATTGTTGTTAGTGACAAAGGACATTTTATAATTTAAAAAATGGCCAATTTATCAACAATACACAGTCATTGTAAGCTTATATGCACCTAGCTACAAAGCCTCAAAATGCATGAAACAAAAAAATTATGGAATTAAAGAAAGAAACACATAATTCAAAAATAAGAGTTCAATGCCCCACTTCAATGCCCCGCTTTTAATAATGGATATGTGACAGAAAATCAGTGAGGCAATAGAAAACTTGAACATCTATAAAACTATTAGACTTAAAAGACATCTCTAGAACATTGAGTACCAAAACGTTCTTCTCAAATACATGTAGAACATATTCCAGGATAGATATGTTAGGTAATAAAGCAAATCTTAATAACTACAAATAAACTGAAACCACACAAAATATTTTCCCTGACAGCAATGCAATGAAATAAGAAATTGGTAACAGAAGAAAAATTGGGAAATGCACAAATATGTGAAAATTAAACGACACACTCAAAAACAACCACTGGATCAAAAGAAACCCTAAGGGAAATTAGAAACTACTTTGAGATAAGCAAAAATGAAGACACAACAAATCAAAATTTATGCATCTGAGGGAGAGATGAAATTTAGAACTGTAAATGTTTACATTAAAAATATGAAAGATCAAAAATCAACAACCTGATCATTCACCTTAAGACACTGGGAAAAGAAGCAATTTAGACCCCATACAAGAAGGAACAGAGAGTAGAATAGAAATAAATAAACTAGAAAACAGAAATACCATATAAATTTGTTAAATCAATAAAACAAAAACTGGTTCTCTGAAAAATCAACAAAATCGACAAACTTTTAGTTTGTCCCAAAAAAAGGACCAAAAGAAAAAAAAGAGGGAAGACACAAATAATTAAAGTTGGGAATTTAAAAGGGAGCATTACTACCAACCTTTCAGAAATAAAAAGGATAAGGAAACACTATGAAAAACTTCACATAAACAAATTAGATTACCTAGATGAAACAAATTCCTATAAAGAAACAAACTACCAGAACTGACTCAAGAAAAAATTTTAAAAATCTGAACAGACCTATAAAAAATAGACAAAAACTTCTCACAAATAAAAGCCCTTGGCCAGGTTTCAAACATCTAACGAATTCACACTAACTATTCAAAAGCTGTTGCCAAAAAAGCAAGAACACTTCTCAATTCATTCTGAATATTACTCTGATATCAATATTATCTGCTACCAATATTACTCTGATACCAAAACCAGACAAAGACATCACAAGAAGAGAAAGCTACAGACGCAGATGCAAAAATCCTCAGTAAAATACTAGCAGACCTAGTCCAGAACATAAAAAAAATAAATTATACACCATGAACATTTGGGATATATCCAAAAAAAGCAAGATCAGCTCAGTATATAAAAACCAATCAATGCATAAGCCACATTAATAAAGAACAAAAATCAAATGATCATCACAGAAAAGGCACGTGTCAAAATTCAACACCACTTTTACACTCAAAAAATAGAAGAGAACATCCTCAAGTTGACAAACAACATATATGACAAATCCACAACTGACATCATACTTAATGGTGGATAAATTTCTCCTAAGGTCAGGAACAATACAAGGATGCCCACTTTTGCCATTTCTATTTAATATTGTACTGGAGGTCCTAGTCAAATGAGAGAGGAAAACAAAATAAAAGGAATCCAGACTGGAGAAGAAAAAAACTATACCAAAAAGAAAAAAAACTATACCCATTTGCAAGTGACATAATCTCGTACACAGAAAATCCTAAGAAGTTCCCCAAACACTATTAGAATAAATAAACAAGTTCAGCAGAGTTGCAGGATACAAGATCAACACTGAAAAATCAGTTGTATTTCTACACATTAGCATTGAACATTTTGGAAATAAAATTTAAAAATCAATTCCATTTACAATTGCATCAAAAAAATACTTAGGAACATATTTAACAAGGAAATGCAAATCTTGCACCCCCAAAACTACCAAAACTGTTGAATGAAATTAAAGTAGATATTATACAGAAAGACACTCCATGTTCATGGATGGATAAATGGTATTTTTTAGATAGCAATACTCCCAAAGTGATCTACAGATTCAATTCAATCTCTATCAAAATTCCAACGGTTGCCTGGGCATGACGGCTCACAACTATAATCTCAGCATTTTCAGAGGCCAAGGACGGAGGACTGATTGAGCCCAGGAGTACTGAGACCAGCCTGGGAAAAAAACAATAAAAAATCAGCCTGGTATAGTGGCACATGCCTGTAGTTCCAGCTACTTGGGAGGCTGAGGTGGGAGGATCACCTGAGCCCAAGAGGTTGAGGCTACGCTGAGCCGTGATTGTGCCACTGCACTTTAGCCTTGGTGACAGAGTGAGACTCTGACTCAAAAAAAATTTCAATGGCCCCTTTTAGCAGAAATAGAAAAGTTGATCCTCAAATTCACTACAATAAACACTGAAAAGCCAAAACAATATTTAAAAAGAAAAAGTTGGCGAACTCATACCTCTCAACATTTACTACAAAGTTACAATATTCAAAACAGTATGGTACCGGTATAAGGACAGAGACCAATAGAATAGAACCAAGAGTCCAGAAGTAAACCTAAACATGTAAACACCTAAACACCTAAACCCTAAACACCTAAACCCAACTGGTTTCTGACAAGGGTATTGAGAT